ACCCACATCCGGACTGCATTGAGCCACATCGCTGCATCAGCCCCCCTAACACTTTTGGCCGCATCCCGCATTTTAAACACTGGTTATGCACAAAGGACTTCTTAGAGATCGTGATCATGGGATAAAATCTTAACCTAAACAACTATGTGGCCACCGACTAACACCAATTAATAGAGCAAGTAACTCAATATGTTTGATTGAAGAAAGAAAAAAACCTCAAATACTAAGACTCAGCAAGAAAGCTACTCGTGACCTGTGCATGTCTCTAAGGTGCCGCAATACACCTTTTCTGGGGAAGAAACTAAGGATGCCACAATATCCCACCAAGGAATGCTTGTCTACATGTCTATGATTAGCAATACCTTAGTCGACTTCATAAACTCTTGCAACGTGGCCCTTTTATAGACACAAGTCACATAGGCTTGGGAATTAAAAAAATCAACCCTATGCTTTTATGTGGTTCCCTTGAGTTTCATAGGCAAAACATAACTGTCCCATCATCATCATCATCATCATAACTTTTTCCCAACTAATTGGGGTGGACTACATGAATCTTAGTCTACCATTCTGCTCTATCAACGGCCATAACCTCAGTGAGGTAAAACATGACTGTCTAATCATTCACATTCATGTTTGGGTTTATCAATTTCCATTGCTGAAATCTTTTGTAACTCTCAACAAGATCATTCAGACCCTACCAAAATAACTTGGTCAGTCAAAACCAACAGCAAAGAACATTTCACATTTAGCTTAAAATGGCGATTCATAAGTTAGGTATTCAAGTTGGTGCGACAGTTAATCCCAAGTAGTGACGTCAGAGGCCACTTTTTATATTAACAATAACAAGGCAAGCAACAAGCCAAGTTTACGCAAGGAATTATTGCCACAAAGAAAATTTAATTTTTCCTTAGAGGATTCGACAGAAGATGCCCAAAAAATGGCTGACAAGTTAGAACAAAGAGAGAGAGCATATCATTTAAATCAGGAACTTAAAGGAAGGGATGACCACGTTCCTAGTGTAGTAGCAGCCTATGTATGAATTGAAGCATAAACTGTAACCTAGAAGTCATGGATAGCAAACGGTAAAATGTCATGCCCCCTCAACCAGGTAAGACCAAGGCACTTGCACAAAGCTGCTGTAACAAGGGCTTGACAATTTTTTTATTCACTTTTGCAAAAGAAAGTGTGGAGGACGGGGACAAGTTGGGATTGGATCGTTGTAAGTCAAAAGTTGTGGTGCAACTGCAAACAACGTTTGGAAAAACCAAAAGAGATGTTTTGGACATTAACAAAAATAATCTACTATGCACGAACCTTAAAAATCTAAGACTATACAATCTCATGTTTTAGATTGATTTCTCACTAGACAACAGTTGGGCTTCACATCAGATGTAGTGATTGTATTGCAAAGGAGGAGATAACAATTTACAATTTTGAAACCAACATATCTGTATTTTTACTTCTTCTATTTTTTTGATAATGTTAACTGTATTTTTCTTCTTCTTTTCTCTTAAAAAAGAAAAAAGTGGCATGTCTCAAGGGAATTAGAAATATTCAAGTTGAATCAACACCTTTGTTTAGGGTAAGGAAAAGTAGTTCCTTGTAAACTTCGACATGGGAATGACAAATGCAATGATAAATTTCAAAATGAGTGTGAAGAAAAGAAACAAAATCTAATAATTAGAAATAGACCCTTATGGAAACCAATAGACCAATGAAGAAATCTTAGTTCCACAGCAAAATGCCTTTATCAATGGTTTAGAGTTGATTGATAAATAGCTGTTCCATTCATAAGTTGTTCAATTCATAACAACAATGTCAAAAACTAATTATGAGGTCGAACGTTGAATGCTCATTGAAAAACGACATATACTTCTGTCCCCATGCACCACATATGGCATACATTTCATTCAGGAAGATCAAGCTGACAAGGAAAAAACAAATTCTTCGAAGGCGACCAACACTATAGGTTAAGCAAGGAAAATTACTGATTAGTGATCACACAATTACCCAGGCACTATGAGATGCTTAGTAAGGGGCCTGGCCTTGTATATCCAACAAGACGTTGAGAGGGCAAAGGAACTAACACTGATAAGAAAATTTTGGCAAGTTTATTCTGGATGGCCAATGAGCATATAGCAAATATTAGAAGGCCAATGTTTGTCCCTTACATCACAGATTGTGGGAAACACTTACGAGGAACTAATTTCCAATTTGCAATACTAGCCACTTTAGGAAGTTCCAATAAATAAAGTTTCACGAAATGCATAACCTATTGCGTATTAGACAGTCCTTTACCATGGAAGTATTACAGACCTGAACTACATCCCAGTCTATCAGTTCATGAATTAGTTGGGAAATTAATACAAAAACATCTTTGAAACAGGATGATCTTAATACCCTGCATAATGCAAAAGCAAGTTCGCCAACTCCACAACAGCAATGCTCCAACTATAGTTGTTGGAAACTTCTTCATAAAAAAAAATAGGTGTTGACATTCATGTGATTCTGAACCGTTTCAGGAGCCAAAATTAGAATCATGGGTGGCCAGATGATGCTGATAGTCAGAATTGCTGTCCGCACAATGCATATCACATGAAGCAGGATTTCTATCATTTTGGAATCACGCTCCAATCCAATAGGAATCAAGATTCCTACATTGTTGGAATCGCAGTCCCATCATCTAGGAATTGAGATTCCTAACTTACGGAATCACACACCAAACCACTTGGAACCAGACTAGAAATTATTAAGAAACGAGTTCCAAAAGGCAAAAGATTTAAGGTTTTAGATTATCCATAAGCAAGATTTCCTTAGTACTTGACTCCACATATTAAGTCTGCTTACCTTGGACTCCTCTATTATTGGAATCAATGTCGTTGACAGCCCTCCGCTAACATCGACGTCGATGTATGGAGTGCCCTTTAATACAATTCTCCACAAATATTGGAAACAAAGTACTTTTCTAGAGTTTTTAAAGTGAACAAAGGAAATAAAGTTAAAATTACTAGAATCCAATTGGACACTACAGTAGCAGTGTGTTGAATCAAAAGCAGACAGTAAGCGTCTTTATTATGGTTCGTTACATTCTATCTCCGCTTATGAAAGGTCAAAATGATACGATAGGTATCGCGATGCGAAGGTCTTTACTTGGAGAAATAGAAGGAACATGTATCACATGTGCAAAATCTAAGAGGGTACCACATGAATATTCTACAATAGTATGTATTGAGGAATTAGTACATGAAATTTTAATGAATTTGAGAGAAATTATATTTATAAGCGAACTGTACGGAACTCGTGATGCATTGATTGGGATTAGAAAATGGGATTTTGTTGGATGAATCTTGAACGAGACTCGGCCCACATCAACGAAACAATCTATGTGGCCCGATCGCAATCATTTCTTGTTTCGAGTAAACAGTTATCGGTTAATTGACAATTCCAATTCAAATCGAATAATTCAGTATATTTTACATTCATAGGAGTACATCTATGTTTCTAGCTACAGTTTCTGGCACTCCGCCCATTTCATGAACTATTCGACCTGGTATAATTACAAAAACCCAATAGTTAGGAGATCCCTTTCCCGAAACCATACGTGGTTCTGCGGGTCTTACTGTAACGGGTCTGTCGGGGAATACGCGTACCCATATTTTTCCACACGACGAGTGTATCATGTCATTGCTCGTCTACCCGCTTCTATTTGTGTAGATGTGATCCAAGCAGGTTCAAGTGCCGTAATAGTGTATCTACCAAAACAAATATGATTGCCCTAAGAAGATACTCCCTTCATTCTTCCTCTATGTTGTTTACGGAATCTGGTTCTTTTTAGTTGCTTTAATCCCATCTCTACTGCAGAACTGGGTATGAGAGTTTTTTCTCATGCACCACCTCACGAATTAAATGATCCAATCTATAGATACTGTACTTTTAAAAAATATGCACTTGTTATAAATTTTTGAAATTCTTGCTTCCTAAAAATTGGAAGCAAGGTCTCATATTGGTTGAATCACGGTCTTGTGCACCTATGAAACACAAAATATGTGAGGTGGAATCTAGATTCCAAAGGCATCGGAACGAGATTCAAAAAATGTGGAATTGTTATTCCTATCTTCCAGGAAGTAAGATCTATGGCAATTCCTTCACGGGAACATGAAATCATGACCAGAATCGCTACCTAGGGAAGACAATTCAGGTAACTGTAGCTCCAACACTGTTTTTTAGTTTATCTCCAGGCACATGTATCGTATACTGGAATCCAGGAAAGTCCATGGAAGAAGACCATTACAATAGCAAGAATAACACCTTGAATTTCTATAGATTGTAGTAGCAAAGGAGTTCATAGAATCCAATTGAGAGAAGAAATTAGTATTCTAAGTCGACTCATCTGCACATAGTATCTTGCCTTTCAAAGAATTAGGTCAAGAGACACAGGTTCATTGGTAAATCTAAGCTACCCAAGGTTGTCATTAAAGTTAGGTAATGAACTTAAACTATGCAAGGATTGTGTACTTGACCTGTCGGTGTTTCCAGACAGTCATTATCAGTGCACAGGGTTCCTTTTATATGTAGTTTCAGTACATAAGCTACATTAGGCTCGTGTGACTCATAATTACAAAAACCACACAATTATTGAGGATTTCAACTAGCAATCGCAAACTTGTGTGCACACACATGAATGCAAGTGTATGATATCCTCTCTGCACATCAAGATATGTCAATCAAACTCCTGCATAATTTATCATCTTGTGCTAGTGTTCATTACCATAATAGGATGTTAACGACTTCAACAAATTTTGAAGGGATCATTATCAAGCACAAAGAGTGCTAGCTTCAGAACTACCAAAACAAGCAAAAGGTCTGGTAGCTTCAAATAAACCCATGACAGTAATCTCCAGCCCAAAAGAATGCATCAGTTTCATCTCATTTGGTTGCGAAAACATACAACAGTCAAAAGGTAATGCAACTTCAAAGAAATCTAAACTTTGGCAGTGTACCTTGCATACAGGACGGTAAGGGTCCCTAAGATTGACAAGTAGGTTATCACTTTTTAAATCAAAGTGGACAATGTTCTTTCCATGCAAGTATTCCATCCCAAAAGCAACATCCATTGCAATCAGCAGACGTTTACGCCGATCAAGTGTCCTGTAAGTAACAAACGACAGCATCTCATCTCTGTTTATAAGATTAACATTGTTTAAACCTACAGTAAATCGAATGGAACACAACAACATTATAAACAGGAGACCAATGTGGTGCCATACTTATCACTTTTCTGTAGAGCTTGTCTCAGTGAACCATTGGCCATGTATTCAGTCACTGTTGCCACTGTACCTCCAGGGCCATCAAGAACGACACCATAGAATGCGACAACATTTGGATGATGCAAATTGGCTAGCTTACAAGCCTCGTTCCAGAAATCTTCCCTCTGTACATACATATGCTAATATGTTGCTCAGGGAATATGAACAAGACAAAATATCAACAATGCGAATTACATCGTAACAACAACTTTTATGTGAACATACGAACCAGCCGTTCCTGCTCCGATGGCTTGCCTGCAAAACACCGGTCATTGATTCGTTTTATTGCCACATCTGAGCCCCTCCACTTTCCATGATACACTGTCCCAAAGGTGCCAGAACCTAGCTCCCTTAGTTCTTCAAGGTCACTGTTCTTAATGATCTGCCCAAAATATAAGATGCATAAAGTCAACATATAAGTGTGTCTAAACAAAGGAGAAGTAACCAAGTTTCCAAGTACAACCTGCAAGTTGTCAATACCATCACTCAATGCTAAACCAGGATTAGGTTTCTCCAAGATTTTAACATTGATGTCCTAAAACACAAGAAAGCAGGACATGTTAATTGCATGAACGATAGCAGTAAAAATTGTAGAAATATTTTATCAAATTTAAATAATAAAATACCTCAATCTGTAGATGACTTGATGCTTGTGCTTTCAGTTCTTGAATTCCTTCTTGGATAATATCAAGAACAGATCCATTCATACCAGTCACAGAGGCAGAAGGTACAGATGAAGTCGATGAGCAGAGAACAGATGCCGTGACATCCTCAGTGACTGCTTGTAACTCTTGCTTAATGTATTCATCGCAAGAGCTTTTCACTGTAAAAAGAAGAATGTTACTAGAAAAAGGAAATTCTAAAAAATAAAAATTGGGGACTTACAGAAACGAGAAATTTTAATTTACTGCATGCATTTGAGGTACACTCACCATGGCTTTGTTGCATTGGCTCCAGGACCAGTTTGTTTTGAAAACTGGTTTCAACTTGCGCATCTGATGAGTCTTTCAAGCCTCCATCCAATCCCAATGTCAAGCCCAAATTGCCCAAATTGCCCCTAGAAACCATGTGGTCTTCAATGGGCAATCCCATCATAAAAGAGATATCTTTGTTCTCCACATTGCACACCCCAAGTTGAGGCACAGGTACACCATGTAACAAGTCCCAACGATCTAAACCAGATGGACCGAAGGGCAAGTTTGAGGCAGCTGTTATATCTCTTTTTTTCCCATTACCAAGGCCAGGATCCAATATTACAGTTTCTGAGTTACAATTCATAGGAACAGTGACATTGTTGATGGCACCCCTTGTAAAGGCTTGTGGACCTTCGACTCTCCATTCTTGACTTGGGTTTTCCTTTGTAGTGTTCACGCATGAAGAATCACCACAAGGTACTGTGGCCTTGTTGTTCAACATCTCATGAGAAACTGAAGGATTTCCAATTAAGGGAAGTGCTGCAGAAGGATCTGCAGACTGAGCATTATTTATCGATGGTTGACCTGGATTGACATACCCCGCACTCATAACAATCCCTGGCTCACTGAAGGGATCAGTCACTCGAATAGAATCCAAAGTAACCTGTGGCTGCACATTCAGCCTTTCTTCTCTGACAGCATTCACGTTAGCCACTACCGAGGTTTCACTTGTTTGCGTCCTGCCGCTTAGCTGATTTTCTCTCACACAATGATCTAAGTTCATCCAAATTGGTAGTTTGCTCTGATCGATCCCTGAAGACAACCCCGATGAATTCACAGGAAAAGCACTTAACCTCCCATCGAGTGTTTTATAATTGTCAGGTGACAATGAATTCAGACAAACATCTTTCGTTGCAAAATCATGTGAAGAGTCCAGATCGCAGGGTTCTGCACTAGGGAAAAGCAAGCTATTTTCTAGAGGTATGTCTATACCAATCGTCCTATCCCTTGCCACCTCTTGCTTAACCTGGCTATGGGGCATTACAAATGCATCTTCTTGATGGAAGAATGAGTGGTTGCTTGAGAATGGATCATACAGAGGTTTCACATCATCTGCTCCATACTTGTTCACTGCATTGTCAACATGAGTAAAGTCCAAAGGTTCAGTTTTTTGAAGTTCCTCAGTAGATTTGTCAACATGAGTAAAGCCGAAAGGTTTAGTTTTTGGAAGTTCCTCAGTAGATTTAACTGGTATGTTCTGAGTAAACAACAACTTGGTGTGATCAGGTTTTTCTGTTTGCTGCTGAGGAACTTGATCATAATCAAGATGCTGCTCGGGAACATGAGGAATTCGTGGAGGTCTCAGTGAAGATGCAGCAGTTTCATGTCCATTCTGCCCATTCAGTTTCGCATGACTTCCTCCGTTTCCCTGAAACCTAGCCACTGCCCCACGTCCCATACCTAACCAATGCTCAACTGGGGGAGCCGCAGAACCCTCCCCCAATGCTCCAGCAACTCTCGGTGAAGCCATGAGTCTTAGACTTCCATCAGAATGATGACTTTGAAGAGCTGAATTTGTCTCTGGAACAGGATTCACACGCTCTTGAATCAATGTATCAGAATGGGCATGAGGCAGTGCCTTTTGGCACATAAAACAGTCCTCAAGAATAGACACCTTATCGCCAGAATTTCCCATTTGCTGGGCTACCCATTCTTCAGAGAAAACTACACATTCAGGTGCCGATGGCTGGCAAATGAGCCTCTCCATGGTGGACTGACCTTGAACCTGAACAGGAGGCGAATGGGTAATTTGGGGAACTTGGAATGCCTTATGACTCTGGTCACCGTTAAGTTGAAATCTTGCTCCTGCACTGCTCTCTTCCATGTAATGCTCAATGGGTATATGGGGTGTTGGTACGAACAGTTGACCTCCAATTTTGCCATTAACTCTTGGCGAAGAAGGACCAGCACACAAATTCTGTGAAGGAGGACATACACCTATAGGATATCCCAAAGAACCTGCCAGTGCAAATGGATAGGAGACACCAGCAACACCAATAACTGAAGCCACATGCACTACTGATTGTTGTGCACTGAGAGAAGAACTCTGAGAAGCATTCATTGATTCAGGAGAGATTCTTATGTCCGAGTTATTGTAAGGACTGTAGCTGCTCAAGTTATAGGCACTTGGATGAGCACCCACATAACCATGCACATATGTGGGAGGTGGACGAACATCTACTAAAGAAGCATGTGCTTCGATTTGTGGCATCTGCTGCCCTTCTGGCCTGCAATCGACTAGTGTTGAAGAAATATTGGGCCTCTCAGAAGGACTTGTCGACAACCCATAAACAGGTAGATTTAGCATAGCAGAGAGATTGTCTACTTTAGCATGTAAATGGTCCTCTTCTGGCCTAACTGCTGGATCCACAGAATGGGTTTGCCCAAGTCGAAGCATAGAACACATGGGCATAGGTTCAGAAGGACCACTGGTATTAACAGAAGCGGCACTTGAAGATGCAGCATCTTCCCCAAAAATCAACTGATTAGGAAACCTATAGGCCAACCTCGTATCACCATTAGCCAACCTTGGATCACCATTAGCAAACCTTGGAGCATCATTAGCCGATCTTGGAGCATCGTTAACCACACTTGGAGCATCATTAGCCAACCTCAGAGCATCATTAGCCAATCTTGGAGCATCATTAACTGGAATCTTGCTAGATAGTAGATTGCTGCCTGCATCACCTTGACTAGGAACAAAATTATCAGAAGCATCACCATTAAACTGACAATCAGAACTTTGAGTTGAAGTAGCACTTGTTGTGCTCTCTTTTATCCTATTGGTGCTCTCAGGGATCCCATTCAGTGCCTCAACATATCGTTGCCCTGCTTCCTGATGATCTGCATACTGAACAACATCAGAGGATTCAGGCTCTGAGGCTGGAAACAAGAAGACACGAAACTTCGGCGATCCCTTTCGGGAGTTTTCCAAGAGCTTGTCATACTCTTCCATCATATTATCCAAATCTTCATCGCAGGAAACTGAAATCAGAGCATCAAGATCCTCCTGAGGGAGCTGATACTTAATGACAACAGGTTGCCCATATGCATCTACCAGCTTCTGAAAAAGCACTTGAAACCCAATACCCTTCCTCAGACTGATGATCCTTGTCTGACCCCCTACATATCTCAGCACCCCATCACTTGGCCTAGGAAGGATTTTGCCCCCAAAACTACACAAAAACTTCACTTTTTTGGTGGAAAAATCATCAGTAGCTTCAGGACAATGAGAATCCTGAGAGGTTGAGGGCACCGAGGTTTGTCGTTGGTGCTGATGGACATTATTAGATTGACTATCAGAAGCATTACTCTTAAGTGTAAAGGACCTCCCCTGCGCCATATCGTAAGGGAACCTATCAGTTAATGGTTCATTACCATTGCCTGCAAAAGCGTTAAAACTACCAAGTATCTCAATGGCTGAAGAAGAAATAGGGAGCAGCCCAGATAACCCTGTTACCATAGACTCAGTATAGGTCATGGGATAGTGGCCCTCAAACCCTCGTTGTTGTCTCTCTTGGTAAAGTGCAATCCTAGACCTAGGGCTACCACTAATGTCCTGAGCTACTGCAGGTTGCAAGATACTGGAGGAGCCATTACCATCTGCAACCTTTAGACCAAAGCTCAAAGGTCTCAAATCTTTGGGAATGGAGTTTTGATCTGCTGCCATTACACAGAAGCCCAAATCCTGCAAATACCGTAAGCCTCAAATTTTAGGGCTTTAGCAAATCATCCCCACCCCCATCCCCAAACGAATATGACACAACACAGATCATTATTATAATTTAGATTAGGGTTTCCTGCAAAAAACTCAAACCTCTAATCCTCAAATGATTAACACACACATGCAGCATCATTTTTTCTCACAAGCACCATATAATAAATCAAATAACAGAAACGCATTAAAAACGAAGACTCAGAGGAACAAAACACAGCAAGAGAGAGAAGTGGAAAGAATCCAATACGAAGTAATCTCTCAGAAAACTGAAGAACACAATGCAGCCCTAATACTAGACATAGAAAAGATTAAGCAATCAAAATTAAGCAGACTCTTCGCAGTGAAAAATCGTACCAGAGTGACAAAGCAGTAAATCAATGTCTGAATCAGGAGATAGGGAGAACGAAAGAAAATATCGCACACTGTCCAGTCGATCGAGACTGCAAAAACATTTTTTTAGAAAGAGAGAGTTCAAAGTTATTAGAGAGAGGAAGGATAAAAGTGATATAGAGAGAGAGGTACCGGGTCGGAAGAGGTTGAAAGCTCCTGTACTTTTCTTTCGCTCTCTACGTTACGTAATTTGCTACAGAAGCGAGGACCATCTGAAGACTCCTTTCGCTATCTGTGAGATTCTAGAGACAAAAAAAAATGGCGTTTGATATTTATACGGGATTTGTATAATTGTGATTTGTGAAGGTCCGTCCAGGCGAAATATTTGGTTTAAAAAAGGAGCAACGAATCGAAGAGAGGAAGGATGAATTTTTTTGGAACTTCGCCACGTAGATTAAACTTGCAGATTTGATACAGCCAGCCTTACACTCGTGTAATTTTATTTTTTTTAAGCAACTTTGCTTATCATTATCTTCAGGAAAAGTGTTTGGTAAGTTGGCCGACCCGCACTATTTTTGTGCGGTCTACCTACAAAGAAAAAAAGGTATTTTCGATCTAAAATTTTAGAGTTCATTTTTTAAAAAAAATATATCAATATCATTTTTTGAATTCTTTTCTTCATACTCTATTTTAACTTTTAATGGATGAACCTTTTTTTTTTTTTGACATCCATCTTAAAGATGGATATTAGTTAGACAAGGGACTGCATGGTAATAAGTGAGTAGGTTGACTCACCAAAACGGTGTCCTTGTCTCCAAAGGCTGCTTTTTTTAGTTTAATATAACAACTTGAACCACTGTTGAATTATACTTATAAGGACAAAAAGAATTTTATTTTTAGATAAATATTTTAAGATAAGATAAAAAAAGATAAAGGTTTATGTTAGGGTGCTCATATTATAGATTATTTTATAATTGTACTTAATAAATTTTTGATATTTATATATTTGTTTTGTAATACAATTTTTTATTAAGAATATTTTTTGTTATGGGTGTGACATTATCCACCTGGATGTATATCAACCACATAGAGCATTAAATCTAACTAGTATGCTATGTGAATCATATTACATATTTCCTAATGACCAAAAATATAATTACTAAAAATATATACTTTATATACAAAATAAGAGAATAATAATATCCAAAATTTGTTGAGTACAATTATAAAATGTTCTATAGTGTGAGCGCCCTAGCATAACTCAAAGATAAATCATCTTTTGCGGAATAGAAAAATATATTAGGATAAGATAAAAAAGTTTATATACTTTAAGGGGCCGTTTGGATCCATGGAAAAAGATTACTTGGAAAAATCTATTCTTTCTTAAATGTATTTCAAGAAAAGTCTTTTGAGTACCCTTACTAAAAATATACTTCATATAAAAAATAAAGGTATAATAACATCCAAAATTTGTTGAGTACAATTACAAAATGCTCTATAGTGTGAGCACCCTAGCATAACTCAAAGATAAATCTTATCTTTTTTTAGATAGAGAAATATGTTAGGATAAGATAAAAAAAAAATTATATACTTTAAAAGGCAGTTTGGATCCATGGAAACAGATTACTTGGAAAATTTTATTTTTTTTAAATGTATTTCAAGAAAAGTATTTCCTATCAAATAGATTTCGGCTGTTTGGATACTACATGGATGCATAACATTTCATTTTTCTTTTATTTTAAATTTTTGTTAAATATTTTTATTATATTATTCATTATTATATTATTTTTTATTAAATTTGATATAGTTTCACTCTCTAAATATTTGAGATAATTTCTCTCTAAATATTTTGAAGTAGTTTCTCTATCTAAAATTTTAAGATATTTTCTCTCCCTAAAACTTCAAATTTGAGATAGTTTCTCTCTCTAAAAATTTTGAGATAGTTTTTTTCTCTAAAAATTTTTCAGTACTTTCTCTCTCTAAAAGTTTTGAGATAGCTTCTCTCTCTAAAAATGTTTAGGTCATTTCTCTCTTTGATACTTAAAACTTGAGATAGTTTCTCTCTTTAAAAATTTTGATATAGTTTATCTTTATCTAAATCTCTCCCTAAAATTTAAAAATTGAAATACCTTCTATCTCTAAAAATTTTGAGATAGTTTCTCTCTTAAAAAAGTTTTTATGCATTTTCTCTCTCTAAGACTTAAAATTTGAGATAGCTTCTCTCTCTAAAGATTTTTAGATAGTTTCTTTTTCTAAAAAATTTCAGGTACTTTCTCACTTTAAAACATAAAATTTGATATAGTTTACCTCTCTAAAAATTTTGAGATAGTTTTTCTCTCAAAAAAAAATTCAAGTATTTTCTATTTTTAAAACTTAAAATTTAAAATAGTTTCGCTCTTTACAAATTTAAAGCAAAACTTAAAATTTGAGATAGTTTCTCTTTCTTAAAAATTTCAGTACTTTCTATTTATAAAACTTAAAATTTGAGATAGTTTATCTCTCTAAACAATTTGAGATAGTTTCTCTCTCTAAAAATTTTCAAGTTTTTTCTCTCTAAAACTTAAAATTTGAGATAGTATCTCTCTCTAAAAATGTTGAGATAGTTTCTCTCTAAAAAATTTTTTAAAAAAATTATTTCTAAAATTTGATATAGTTTCTCTCTCTAAAATTTTAAGATATTGTCTCTCTCTAAAAAAAAATTGAAATCGTTTATCTATAGAAACTTTGAGATAATTTCTTTCTCTAAAAATTTTCAATAGTTTTCCTCTCTAAAATTAGAAATTAGTTTTCCTCTCTAAAATTAGAAATTTCTCTCCCTAAAATTTTAAGATGCTTTCTCTCTCTAAAACATAGGCGGTATTTTTGTTAAGTTAATTGTATTTTATAAAGTTCATGTTTCCGTAACAGGTAAATCTGGTTGGAAATTAATTACCGAGGGTAAAGGCGATGATACAATTTTTTTTATTTTTGGCTTGAAATGAGGAAAATAATTTCAGGTGGAAATACTTTTCAGTCCAAAAATTTCGATCGAAACACAGAAATGTGCCATCTCCACTGAAAAACATTTTTGGAAATGTATTTCTATGCATCCAAATGTCTCCTAAGATATTTTTGAAAAATGATGCGTACTTTGAAATATTTAGGAAATAAGTACATCAAAGATTTAGGAAATAAATATTCGTATGCATTCATCAAAAAAATATGAAAATTTAAATACAGTATTACAAAAATATATAAAAGTGAAAAAAAATTATTCTAATTTATATAGGCAGTTTCTTATGATAAATATTTAATGCTTAAATTATTATTATTATAACAATATTATTATTATTATTAAATAATAATATTTTTTTGGGTGAGTAATGGGGAGAGGGCCCTATCCTTTGTTGGAATTGAGCTTAGAACATAGTGTTGCAAATTGTTAAGCGCAAACCAATTAAGTCCAGGCTCTCTCTCTAATTATTAAATAATAATAACAATAAAAGATTCCCTAATTATTAAATAATAATAACTGCAGTTTAAACCAGTATTTTAAAAATCATCGAGTCGGCACGGAATCGGGGATTCGAATCAGTTATCCCGTGTCGGTTCTTCGATAAAAGCCAGAATCGCCAGTTCTCTTTTGTCCGGTTCTAGAGAGAACCGACGATTCTGTATAGTAAATCGCCTGATTCCGATTCTGCATATTAAATCTAGAACCGGTGATTCTGCATAGTAAATAGCCTGATTCTTTTCTTCTAGTTCCTTCACGGGCCCTAGTTCCTTCGTAGGCCTTAACGCTTCACGGGCCCTATAGTGCCTACACGCACGTGTGCTCGCGATCCACACGCATCATGTAATCTTGTTGCTTCACGCGTGCTACAAACAGTGAGTACAAAGAACTATTTATGCACCAAAATTTGCTTCTCTCTCTTCGATGTGGAACTATGTGAAAAGGTAATACCTTAAAACGTTCATATATTACATATTTTGTTAACAATTTTCTTAACAATAAGTTGCAAGTACTATACTGGTTATTGCATGCGCTCATTTTGTGGACGGACGCAGGTTCGATTCATCTGGTTGAGGAACTGCTTTTTTTCCTCTTTTTTTTTGTCAAATTATTTTCTTATCAAAAAAAGTAAATGTTTTTTTGTAAAAAAAACAAAAATAAAAGGTTTTTATCAATTTTGGTTTTTGTCAAATTTTTTTATCAATAAAATAAAAATTTCGTACAAGAAAAATGAATTTTTTTGTCAAATTTTTTTCTATAAAAAAAATTAATGGAGTTTTCTAAAAAATAAAAATAAAAGGTTTCTATCAATTTCGTTTTTTGTCAATTTTTTTTTCTTATCTATAAAATAAAAATTTTCGCATAAAAAAAATGAAAGGTTCTTATCAAATCTTTTTCTTGTCAAAAAAATAAAAAATAAAAAGTTATTGTCAAAAAAATAAAAAGTTCTTATAAAAAAAAAATACAGCAAGTATTTTTTTCAAAAAAACTCATTTCTTATTTTGGTTAAAATAAGTTCATATTTTTGTCAAAAAACTCATTTCTTATTTTTGTCAAAAATACAACAAGTATTTTTGTTCAAATAAGTTCATACAGATAAAAAAAACTCAATATTCACATATTGATGAAAAAAATGAAAATTAATAATGTAGTACCCCGATTTTTTATTGAATTATTAAAAAATAACATTTATAATGAATTTTAATAATTTTTTTAGATTTTTTTAAAGCTTATTCCTATCTATTCGTCTGATTTCCAATCTGGATCGCCGATTCACCGATCCAGATGGGTTTTTGGGGTGTCCAATCCGGGGCACCGATCCGTTTTTTAAACCGCTGCTCTAAACAATCAAATTAGAGCCCACCTACAAATAGTGTCGAGAAATGTGGCTTCAATACTTGAAATATTTGTGACAACTTTAAAATATATATTTTTATTTATAAAGTTTAAAGCCTCTAAAATAGAGTAGATCGAAAACTTGAAAATCTTGAAAATTGACAATCCAAAAATACGTTACAAAATACACTATTTCCAAAACTTTGAAATCCATTTTTTTCTCATGCTCATGAATCTTGATGTCGAAATGATCAATTTGAGGGTATTTGGGCATCAAAATAACCTCTTCCGGTGAAATTTTTTAGGTAGGCTCTAATTTGATTGTTTAGAGCTGACTCTATATTAACTTTTCCCACAAAAGATTACATGTTCATAATATAATTATACAATAATATGATATTAATATAATATTATAGTAATATAATGCTATTATATGTTATTTTTAAAGTATTATATAATAATATAATATTATTATATAATATAATATTATGCAATAATAGTATATTATTAAATTATAATAAATATTATA